TGCAAGTTCCAGTGTTTACTATTTGCCGTGGCCATGGTGTGGTGGAGGACGCATCTGGTGATGCAAGCGGACCGTGCGCGGGGGCTTGGCAAAACTGGGAAGCCTAGATTGAACACTGCGGCGCGTCCACCGGGTTGACGACGGAACGCGCATTTCACTGCACCGCCGCCACGATCCCTACACGCCTCGAGACGCTCGGCAAACCACTCAGTCCGACTACGCGATCACGATTCAACCGGAAATGGAGAGCGCGGCCAAGCGCAAAGCCGCGAGTGCTGCAGCGGGCGACCACGACGGGCGCCCTGCGAAGCGACAAAAAGGGACGGTACGTGCAGGCTGTGGTGGTGGGCGATGCATCGTCGGGCGTGTCCTGGAGATGGACGAGGCGTGATGGGCGCGTTGCGGGATGCTCCTTAGTCCACCAGCGCGACACCTGGGGGGTTCGACGACCAGGCCATCACCCCGTCGGCCCCTCATCAATCCTCAACACCACGCGCGCGCCGGCGATGCACTCAGCCATTGCGGGAATCCGCTCAAACAATAATGGGAACAATGCTGACAGGAGACCGCTTCCGTGCAGGCCGAGACGCCCAATTCCCGATTAGAGACGGTTGAGTCGACCACGACGGCAGGCTTGAAGTTCCTCGACAGCTTGAAGCAGGCCAAGGACAAGACGTACGTGACGCCCTTCTGACGCCTGTCGCACTGGCAGCTTCCATACTCCTCAGTGTGCGAACATACGAACCCCCACTGACAGCTTGCAGCGGACGCCCCATCGCCGTCCACTTCCTCACTCTCCCCGATAAGGTATGTCCCCGTTGCGCTCCCTCTATACACCAGGTCCACTGACAATTGCATGCAGGCCGAAGTGCCCGACTACTACGAATTCACGAAACTGCCCATTGCTATTGATACCATCGAGAACAAACTCAACAACGGCGAGTACGCGTCCCTAGCTCAAGTCGAGAGCGACTGCAAACGACTGGTCAACAATGCAAAGGCCTTCAACGACAAGAACTCCGTCATATACCAGGATGCCGAGCGTCTACGCAAGACCGCCTCCAACTGGATGGTCAAGCACAATCCCGCCTACCGTGACGGCAACTATGTCGCAACAGCCACCCCGATCCCAGGCGAAGACAACTCCACCCCGTCGAAACCTTCCCCCCGCGTTACCTCGACCCCAAGAACCGCCCACGCACATACACCTGCCACGCAAGATACAGCCGACCGCCCTCGACGCGCGGCCGCCATCGCGGCGTCGGCTACACCAGCACCGTCAAAGTTGCGACAGTCGGCGTCTGCTGCGCTGGAAGAGGACGATGATAGTGCTGATTATGCAGGCAAGACATTCCAGCAGGCACAGGAGCAGATTGTGAGGGAGATCCTTGATTATGAAGAGTAAGTTGCGTGCTCCGTGCTCTAATACCAGCCAGCTAACGCCCTTCAGCCAAGGACTGCAGATATTCCTGCCCTTCCAGAACCTCCCGTCGCGCAGCTTGAAGGACTACTACCAGCTGATCAAAGACCCCATGTCGCTGGCCGCCATACAGAAGAAGGTTCGCGGAGTAGTGGGACGCGAGGCTCCGACAGGCCATACATTGTTCAAGAGCTGGGACGCTTTCGAAGAAGCCTTCAGTCTGATTTGGAAGAATGCCCGTATCTACAACGAAGATGGTAGCGACATCTACAACCTCTCGCTCGAGCTTGAAGTATGTATATCGTCTGCATGCTCTCATACCTGAGTACTGACCGGCGTAGGAAATCTTCAATAAGAAACTCGAAGAAGCCAGATCCAAAGTCAGCGAGCCAACGCAACCGAAACTGAAGCTTAACATGTCCAGCGCCGCAGCGGCTCCAAAACAGCAGCTGAAGCTGAAGCTGAAGCCGAGCCCGGGATCAGAACGTAACACTCCAAGTGCTCGCGATTCTGCGACGCCCGGCGTCATTGTTGACAACGACGCCCTTCAGCGACAACAACGACATGTTCTCGATAGCGTGGGCAACCGATTATCTCAAGCCCCACCCGGGAAAGCCGCGACGCCAACAGCGCCTGCCAATCCGTTTACTGGACCGAGAGGTGGTGCTTCGTCGATTGCACCACTCTCTGCCGCCCAGAACAAAACCGCAGGATCACCGCCCGCCGTCAACGGTGTCAAGCAAGACGTCCAATCCCCTGCCCTGAGTGCCATCAGGCCGGCCAGCACCGCACCGGATAGCCAGGCTGCCCGACTAAGCGTCCCAGCGCAGACTCCACATCCGAGCATGGCCCCTCCACAGAGTGTGTCTCGCCAGGCAAGCGGCAGTCCACATCCGAACGGTATTGGGCTGCAGAATGGAAATCACGTTCCCTCATTCCAAACGCCAACTTACTACGCGCCTCCACCAGTAGCCCGCGTAGATAGTTTCAGAAAGGTACCACTCAAGAGTAAGTGTACCAATCCTGATTCAAGAGATCTTCCATTAACAAACGCAGGCGTCGACGAAGCACTAATACCGAAAATCACACTCAACACCCACCCAGCGCTTAACCCGTCGAAGCCATGGTCTACGAGCATCCTGGCGAACAAACAAAAAACCATGTACAGTGCCACGATGGTGGTCGCACCATCCAACTCTTACATTCAAGTTGTACCCAAGGTCCCTATCGCGCTTACAAGCCGGATGTACCGCCTCTTTGTCACTGTGAATGGCAATAAGACACTCGAAGCGAATCGTGTTCCTGTCACGGCAGGCATCAACGGCACAAGCCCAAGTCCCAGCTACGAGGGTGGCAAGAAGAAGGGCGAGCCACTGTTCGAAGCGAAACTCGTAGCTGGCGTCAATCGTATCGAGGTTGAGATTGTCGCGGAGAAGGAGCGCAAGGTTCAGTCTGAGAGTGGCACTGCAAAGAAAGAGGATGTCGAGATTGAAAAGTGTACAATCTTCCTACATTTACCTCGGCAACCGACGCATTAGGCATCCGACGTCTTGGACAGGGCAGACCCTGGATACAAATGGTTGGACTCGCTCGCGTCATGGTTAGACGCTCACATTGTTTCTTGAACGCCTGGGGTATTGGCGTTTACCATTGTGGTGGCATCAGCATCAGGATGACAGGAGTTACGGTGCTTGCTTGCTTTTATTTCTGGCGGTATACCTGAGATTGGAGCGTGTTGTCAAGCTGGGAGAATGGGAACGGGATAACAGAGGATTGAGACTATGGGGGAGGAAGCGCGATGTAAAATTCCGCGTTGTAAGAATAGGGCCTTGTCGATCGAGACGTGCACATCTATCTACCTAGTTTCCTTGAAACGAATTAAATATTTTAAAAACATAGCCTCTGCATGGGTTGGATGGTTGTGCGTGCAGTGCGTCGTCACGCAATCTACATTGACTACCCTGGCGACATGCACCTCTAGACCTCGTTCCTAGCCGAGCTGCACATCTCGGGAGCCAAGCAGCGACTCAGGTTAATCCTTCGGGAAGAAGTTAAGGTTCGGTATGCAGTCAGGATATTCATGCAGCTGCAGCTTCGGAACTCCGCGCTTACCGTCCGATGATACACGAACGGCGGGCGCAACATAAAAGGAGCGAGAACTTGACAAACATATAAAGACCCGACTAACAGCACCTTCCCTCCCTTTGCAATCTCAAACCGCAAGCATCCAAGACTCACAATCATGACCCTCCCATCCCGAAATCCCTCACCACCTCCCCAAGCTCCCCCCAAACCAGGCCTCCTCCTCGTACACCCCCGCCTCCACGACCCCACCCCAGCTAACGCTACCACTTTCCTCCGCTGGACAAAACTCCATTTCAGAGATATGCTCAACATACCCGACACGGGTTCCGGTCGCGTCACACAAGACATGCGGTTCGTTGCGCCGGAGGGCGATGATGGGTATACGCATACGCATGACAAGAAAGAAGAAGGAAAAGACGGCAAGGCCGCGATGCCCCAATACCTCTACACGTGCCTGATGGATGACATTGCGTTTCTCAAGACAGAAGCATACATGGGTGTCAGTCGGAGACTGAACCTGGAAAAGAGCAGGACGTTAGGGGAGGGGGAGGTGGGCGTGGGGTTTCTGGAAGAAAAGGAAGGAGGGGAGGGGAAGATGGTGTTTGATATCGTGGATGCTAGATTCGCCGTGTACGAAGAAGTAGGAGGAGCGGGAAGGGAAGGTGAGATGCCGTTTCAACGTCTACCAAAGCATCTCGCTTCGCGGATGGGCGCAGCGCCGAAATCTGTGCTTGTTGCTGTGTATATCGATGTTGCAGGCGGGGTTGGTGTGGATGGAGATACTGTGCCGCAGACTCTTCATGAATCTCTGCTTGCTCGCTTCAAGGCTGTTGTTCCGCCGGCTCTGAAGCCGTACTCGTCGTTGTATAAATGGGCGGGGGTGGAGGCGCAGCCGGAGGCTCATCCGTTGATTGGGAAGGATGGGAGGGGGGAGTGTATGGTGCTGCTTTTGTTGGTTGATGAGGAGGGGGAGACGTTGGTCAGAGGGCATGCTGTTATGTTGGTGGAAGGGTGGGTTGAGCAGGAGAGGGGCAAGGTGGGGGATGGGCGGATCGAGTTTGGGGTCTGGGAAGGAGAGGTTTTTATGGGCTGATTGAGAGGGCCCTCGTTGTCTGGGTCGAATTGGGTTGGCTGAGATTCTGGTGGAGCATGTAGGTATGCTTCACAGTCCTCTAATGTGTGCGTTGTGGCGAATGCCTTTCACATCATCGCCTCCGGTCGTCTTAATTTCGTGGCTTAGGTATCATCCATGCTTGACATACAGCGCGCGCAAAAAGTAGGTCGTGGTATTTAGTTGTTCTGTGAGTCCGTGGATTCCTGAGCGTCGGTCATGAGGGGTGATATCACCCCGCATCAACGGAGCTACACACCACCGTGAGCACAATCCCGATGCCTCTATCATTCTCTCTTTCCACACCCAACATTGAAGTCTGCCCAGAGCCCTGCAACATGTCGCCGATATCGGAATCTCATACGGCCTTGTCAAGGACAGAGAATGGAGTCTTTGATGTCACGCCAAAGATCGATTGGCAAAAGTCCGCGTTAGTCTCATTATGCCCAGCGTCAAGGTATCACATACTGACATCAAGTAGCGTTGAGCGCAATGCGCTTCAATCGCCTCTACTGCGTCTACCCCGCGAACTGCGCGATCTCATATGGACCTTTACCTTTACGGGAACTGCAAAACCCGCTTGCAAGGAGGTTTCCCGATACTCTCCATTCCGCGTCCTTACGGTATGCCGACAAATCTACACCGAAGCTATCAGTCTGGCGGGTCCATTCCTTACCTGGTCTTTCATCTGCCTGCGAGACTACGAATCCTTCTTCTGGGACATAATATATAGTGAAGGACCAAAGCACAAGATCCGCTTAGTACACTCCATCCAGATTGGCGTCGATCCTTCGGATCTATACATGCTAGCCCAGATAGTAGATCCGGGGACTGACGATGATGTGGATGACGAAACGGGTGAATACCGTCCCACGCTCCGTGCTTTCGAGAATCTAACGCATGTGGAACTACTACTGTCCGCTACGGGGTTCTTCCAGGATTCTGAGAACGAAGACGACGAGGAAGCTGAGGAGGTTGAGCCAAACCGGTATGAGATCGAATATATCGAGGAAGCCAGAGATAACTTCACCAAAACTATGGAACGGAAAGTTCCTGGTGTGCGTGTAACGTACAAGGACTTCGATGACAGCTTGGCAATGAAAAGGTTCTGGACAACGCAAGACCCCAGGGAGTTGAGTCTGCGGACGTCCTCTGGTCGGCGAGAACAACAAACGGCTTTGGAATCTTGACTCATCGCATAGAGTGTTTTCTCTTATGTCGGCTCCTTGGCGGAATGGAAACGGGCAAGATTAGCGAGGCATCGCAAAAGCAATGGCGGAATCCGCTTCCTCCCGCACATCGTGGCCTCGTGTTCATGACCGCGGGAAAGGTCTTGGGTGCGCGCTATCAGGAATGTGGTGGCGATTGGTCATGTTCGATTGCAGAGCTACCCAGACATAGTCTCGCCGACCTCGACAGAGTTGTCAGAAAGCCTAATTGGGGGTCTTCTCAAAAGATCTGGAACGCATCATAGACACTCGTAGTGATTGATAGCACGTAGTCGACATGGATAGCAATGATGAGTACATCATGAGATCTCACCTCAACAAACCATGACAAGCTATCGCTAGGGTACTTGGTACGCATCAATGACCTTCTCATGCTCCAACCGAGGCTTCCGCTGGGTGATTCTTTACGTTAGTCGTGCGATAGAAACAAGCTTTCGGTTCTGGATGAGCGAAGACACGGCTGAGCGCTGAAAAGTTTGCAAATAACGTATGTGCGGGCAGGCCTGGAAAGATATTCTAGTCTCGCGACGGCGTTCCTCTCAAGTTCTCGGGAGCAAAGGTCTGACATGTGAACAGACAGTAAACTCATTGTCATGATATCGTTCGTCCGCAAGTAGGCGAAGTATACGAAAACGGACTCCGACTGTTGCCTGCCACAGGGCCGAGGAGCAACGCGGTAGAAACGACGGCCTACCAGGTCACCGGACACGACATTGCAGTAGCAGCGGGAGCCACAGCTGAGGCTCGTCGTATTTCCATGGTCTAGCAGAGGCCAAGCTTTCGCGTCTTGCTGAGCGGACTTGGCAATCTGCAAGCCATTATTGAACGAGGCGACATTCTCGAACAGCATCGGTGAGACCAGAATGGAAAAGTGCCGCAAAAGTCCCATCTAGTCCTTCGCTACTGCACACTGACAGCCTCAGCTTATCGGACTTGAGAAAACGGCGGCGCCATTGCGAAGACAGCGAAGCAACACGATGGTAGCAGAGACGACGTGGAATTTTCCCATGCAGTGTCAACATTTGCATGCCACGAGTCTATTGGAAAGTTGACCGCGGTTTGTACGAAGGCGTGGAGAGACATCAGAGGCGATACAGGTGACAGGGGTCTGCTGGTGAACAGGGCCCCCGATTTAGTATCACTCTTCTCGCGTGTCCAAGTGCCGTCGCGGGGTGGTCTCGCAAGGGTAAGCGGAAGGATATTGAATTAGCGGGGATTTTCCCATGCTAGATATTTTCCGACGCTGTGCCATGGTCGAGCTCAGCTCGGAATCAATTGCGAAGTAGGTGTGAAGGACAGACTCCACTCTAATATAGCAATTGCATGATCTTGCTACTGTTAGTCCGCGATCGGACCAGAGTGGGGGTCTTCTCGTTCCACCATGTTCTGATCCCGGAGTGGTGCGACAGCTGTTCCAGACAATGATTGCTGCGCGGTCCTACGTGGACGTGGTAGTAAGAACATGGCATCGAATACTGAGGCTTGACATTGCGCGCAAGGCTATCGACAAAGTCAAACACTCGTCGTTCTCAGATGCTTTTTGTTTTGTTTCTTGGGTCAACTCCAGTTCGGCGACGCAGTTGTTTTGGCGAATCGTGACGGGAAGGGATTTGGAGCTTATGCACGCGATGGTACGACTTGACCAATGGTGAAGCTGTGTAATGAAAAGGGAAGACACGAGCCGTGCATTCGGCATGCATGAATTCCGCGCTGATGCTGCATTACGGGGTAGCTGAGGTTAAGCTGTGGAGAGGCGTGGTGGCTTGGAGGGCTTCGAATGACAGGCTGAGCGATCTCCACGCCAAGGCCGACGGGCGCTAGCTTAGCGCCGATCACAGCTTGGTCACAGTCCAGACCTCCCTTTCCGCAGCCTCCCTTCAACCTTCTCCGCTTGCGATGAACACACACACATAGCACCGGCACACTGGCAAGCAGTCCCCCGGACGCGGAACTGCTATTCCTGGATCGACGGGACTCCTAAACAAGCCTGGCCAAGTTGACCGGTCTCTCGCGTACCACGATGCACTAGCAATTAGCGCTTCACAGCTCACACGCTGGCAACAATGTTCAGCCCTAGCAGGGCGAGACTGCTACGAAAGTTATCATGGAGGGCCTGAATCGTGTTGACCGCTCGTACCCAGCCGTCGTCTAGGCATGTAGAGCGCCATCCGTAAACGAGGACCTTCCTGACTACACCTTTCCGAGTTGAGACTGTCGGTCTTCCCGAAACAGACTCTGCAACTCGTCCGTTGTTCACTTTGCCTACTGGTATCCGTCACATGATCATGGTGAAGAGCAGGCAAGACCTGGGATTCTCGTGGTCGAGAAGATTCAGATGAGTCAAGATTGAGTTCAGCATCACCTACTCATATGCACCATTCGGAGATACTGATCGAATTCATCCCGCACTTGTAAATGGAGTTGTCTCTCATGTTGTTGCATCAGCATGGGCTAGTCATCCTACTGGTCGCCAAGACTCATCAGCTTTCGCTCATCGCCTAGCTCTTGCTCATACCAAGCCTCTCAAGCCATGTCTAGGCATGGATCCCATATTCTCGGCCTTTCCAGGCAGTGGCTTGAAGCAGACTACGGTATGGTGAATATCGACACACTCAGGCAACAGTAGCGAGAACGCCGAATGGCGTCTCCTGCCGGCCCTAGACTTCACATCCCATTCTTGTGGGAGTACACTTGCCACGATGAGGGATGGTGGGAACGGGGGTCTGGCCGGATGCCATGAAGCAGGCGTATTCGAGACCTTTTAACTCCTGTATACCATGAGATGGGGATGTATAAAGTGTTCCAAGACGCCAGTGTACAACAGAGCATCAGCCCAATTCACTCATATCTGCTCATCTCCTGATCTTCATCCGCCTTCACTACGCCATGAAGAACTATCTTTCCATTGGAGTCACAGCCCTGTTGGCATCACAAGCACTTGCTGGCGACGACGAGTGGCTCAGCCCAGTCTACAAGCAGATTTTCCAGAACCCGCTTCCTATCCCCCAGGATAAGGCCGTTTCGTATACCTACCGAAACAAGACGACAGGGAATGAGATTGACTTCTACGAGGTCGATGTGAAGCCATTCACACAACAAGTCTACCCCGGGCTTAAGCCTGCCAATCTTGTTGGATACGATGGAGTATCACCTGGTCCTACTTTCCGCATGACCAAAGGTCGTGAAGCCATTGTTCGATTCAAGAACCACGGCCCCAAGGACCTTTCGGTGCATCTTCATGGTTCCTACAGTCGAGCACCTTTCGATGGGTGGGCCGAGGACACTACCAAGAACGGACAATACAAAGACTACTGTGAGTACCGGCTGTCACTGGCATTATGCCGCATGAATGCTAATAATTCTAGACTACCCCAACAAGCAGAGTGCGCGAACTTTGTGGTACCACGACCATGCCATTCATCACACTGCGGAGAACGCCTACTTCGGACAAGCGGGCTTCTACATTCTCCATGACCCTGCTGAGGATGAATTAAAACTTCCCTCAGGCGCATACGATGTACCTCTGGCACTGGCCTCAAAGCAGTACAACAGTGACGGCACGCTTTTTGATCCGGCAAGCGAGACCGTTTCTCTCTGGGGCGACGTCATCCACGTCAACGGTCAACCATGGCCTTACCTGAAGGTGGAGCCACGCAAGTATCGCTTCAGGGTGCTCAACACAGCCATCAGCCGTGCCTTCAAGCTCACTCTTGAGGACCCTTCCGCCAAGAAGGTTCCATTCAATGTCATCGCCGCAGACACTGGTCTCATGTCCAAGCCTGTGCCGACTGACAACCTTGAGATCTCAATGGCTGAACGCTGGGAGATTGTCGTCGATTTCAGCGCATATTCCGGAAAGAACGTAACGATGAAGAATGCGCGCGACGTACAAGCAGACGAGGACTACAACAGCACTGACAAAGTCATGCGATTCGTCGTGGGTTCCTCCGTCTCCAGCACCGCCGGCAACGGCCCTCTCCCAGGCTCCCTGCGTACAGTACCTTTCCCGCCCAAGAAGAGTGGCATCGATAGGAGCTTCAAATTTGGACGCACTGGCGGAGAATGGACCGTCAACGGCGTCACCTTTGCCGACGTCAACAACCGCATCCTCGCAAAGCCCCAGCGCGGCGCTGTCGAAGTCTGGGAGCTTGAGAATTCATCCGGCGGCTGGAGCCATCCCGTCCACATCCATCTCGTCGACTTCCAGATCTTGAGCCGCACCGGAGGTAAACGAAGTGTTCTCCCCTACGAACGAGAAGCTTTGAAGGACGTCGTATTGCTTGGTACCAACGAGAAGGTCACCGTCATCGCCCGCTACGCCCCATACGACGGTGTATACATGTTCCACTGCCACAACCTCATCCACGAGGACCACGATATGATGGCTGCTTTCAACGTCACCAGCCTTGCCAACTTCGGCTATCCCGAGACAACCAAGTTCATTGACCCGATGGAGGAGAAGTACCGCTCCAAAGACATCAATGACTACGACGACAAGCACATCGATGAGAAGTGCGCTGAGCTTGAGGCTCTGGAGGCTTACACTGAACCTGAAAAGGTTGAGCAGGCGCTCGTGGAATACTGGGCCAATGGAGGCAAGGGACCAAGCACGCTAATCACCAGCACTCGATCAGCTTCTTCATCATCGTCGTCCTCGCCTGCTACAGATGCTGCTTCCTCCACGACGTTGCAGACAACTACTTCAGCGCCGTCTGCAGCTAGAGCTATCTCTTCTTCTGCGACGATAACTTCAGCGCCCAAGACGACAACTTCAAGTACGAAGAGGGACGACAAAAAGACATCGACATCGTCTACCAGGAGGAGATAGATGACGGCGAGAAGATTTTATGGCGCTGCATTTCTTTTTGTACATAGAATTCCAAGGCGTTCTAGAGGCTGGTTGGATACATATCACGACGACACGACATTCCTTAGATAACAAGATCATTTCAACGATATTCTGTCTTTCACTGCACTCGCACTTTCAGCCTGCTGATGTGAACACGAGCCCACGCAGAAGCAGTGCGACTGAGACCATCGCAAGATGCATGCTCAAGGATGCCCTTGTCAACAACCACTAGCTTTTGAGAATGAAGAAGGAACTTGTCCGACGCGCCTATACAAGGCTATCAGTAACGCCCCTCCATAGCTCTTCTCACGATTGCCTTCGAACCCCACCCAGCATGAAACCTAGAGAGGGCGTTGAACATCCTGCTCTCCTCTTTACTCTCGCCAAAGTCCCAATTCTTGTACAAATTCTCAGCAGCAGCAGGTCCCAGATTATTTGGGTCAATGCGACCCCCACCGTGTGCAAATATGTCGCGGCCACTGAAGAAATTCGCTGCACTCCAATATTCGCCGATCTGGGGTTCCTCTTCCGTGTTCACTAGATCCGCAATGCAGACGTCGCCCGCCCATGTCTTTTCGCCTGGTGTAGTTTCCATCGGACGCATGTAGTGCTTCTGCATGATGTTGAAGACCTCACGTAGCTGGTCCATTCTCTTCGCTGGGAGACTTGGCTGGCGCTTGCGTAGTTTAATTTCGTTGGCGGCAAGGGTCAGGATTCGGAGAACGATAGTCAGAGAGAGAGTGGGCTTATTCTGTTCTTTCAGGAAGTCATTCTCGAAAACAGGGTCGCTACGAAACATGTCCAGGATGTCCCGGAGGATGTCGCTGCAGAGGAGGACGAGCTTTGGTGTGCAGAAGTTGAGATTAATGGCGTCCGCCTCGAGCCATAGCATAACGGACCGCAAGATTGGGACAGGGTCCCAGATTTTGTCGAATTTGTGGAAAAAGAGCCTATGGTACGTCCATCCTTCGGGCGAGAGTGCGTCAGCTGGCCAATTGAACAGTCGTATTCGCTCATGTTCTTGTTTTTTGTCGCCGAAACTATTTAACAAGCGACGGGTCGACTCATCGACTTTCTGTAGCGTTAACGGAACCTCGCGCATATCAAACTGATCTTCTAACACGGAATCTAAGTGGGAAGGACTCTGGAGAACTCTGCTTCTCAGGAGACGTTTTCCGATCGTGCTGATCGTACGGTATGAGTGGCCATTGATCGCATCAGTTACACCGTACTGGAGAAGTTCAAGCCGTCTTTGAGCCTCCATAATGTCCTGCGGTATCTTCCCATAGAAGAGTCGTTCCAGATCCTGGCGTTGCATGAAGAACTCCAGATCGGGGAAGCGCGGAGCATCAGGGAACAGCTTGCAGCATATGTTGTACAGGTGAGCGACGCTCAGAACATGACTATGATTGGCGTCGTGTGAAATTGGGAATTTGCGCACCAACGATCTCATAACATACATGTAAACGCCACATCTCAGGCGGTGGCTGCGCAGGAAAAGGTTCTTTTCCTTGACGAAGGAGATGCCCGGACAAAGCGGATCCAGTTGTGTCGGTATTCTTATGCTACGGTCATTCGGACTGGTTATGAAGCTCTTCACGACTCCTTGTAGAAACAGGGCGACTCCGTCATTGAAGAAACTCTCTTTGAGGTGTAACACGAGCGTCTCAAGCGAATCAAAGTCTTTGCCTCTATGGACGTCGACAAGACTATTAGGATGCGTCTTGATTTCTTGGATCAGTGTGGATGCCTTTGTCACTTCTTGTCGTAAATCCTCGAGCGGGTCCCCCAAAGATTCCTTGGGAAGATCATTAATTTCGAGTTGGATCTGCATAGCAAAGGTGAGCCAAAATGGTATTGCCCGTTCCTTATCCATGCATCGAACGCCGCGGGTTAACTCATCCTCCGGGATGTTATGTAACAACATCGGAATTTTGCGGAAAACGTAAAGCACTGAAGCCATATCCCGCGCACCAAGAACGTGAGGGTGCATGTCTCGATGTTTGTGTTCCTCACTGAGATTGTGCACCAAAACCGCCCCTGGGTGTTGCGATTTAGGAGCCAACTGAATGGTGTCGAGGAGCAATTTCAGGCCATTGTACACAGGGTAAAAGCAAAGTAAAGATTTTGCACCGGAGGTCCCCACTAGATCAGAAGGCAGGATGAATTCGTCGAGGTCGCTCTCATCCCCAAGTTTCTCTGGATAAAGCTCCCTAAAAAGGAGCAAAGCCGGTAGGCACCAGACGGGAAATAACTCCGCGGGGTACTGAGGCGGACGTGATAGACTTTGGTCGAACTCGTATTCTTTCTGTCGCACGATTGCGATCGCGGTATTCGTGACGAACGCTTTGGTCATCAAATCAGACTTTCTTGTCCATCGCTCTAAGACATATTTCCGAATCGATTGCATTTCTTTCAAGAAACCTTTGATTTCAAGAAAGAAGTCTTCCTCTACATTCGCGTCGTCAAAACTAATCTCTACTGCTGGAACAGAAGGCAAGTCGTCTACGATCACGGGCTGATCATTAGACTCCTCGTCGTCCTCGGTGGTATCCTGCAAAGCCAGTTTGGAGAAGCCTAGTTCTATTGCTGTCGTCCCCGAGGAAGCGGTCTTTTCCTTCGTCCTTTCATTGTCCGGCTTGCGTATATGCGGTCGCAGAATGTCGAGTATCCTTTGAAGGCGCGAGGAGAAAGCATCATGCTGCTGGTCCGCGTTCGTGTCGCAACTCTTAAGTCGATACCAGGCCGTTACCTCCCGCCGAAACCGAATAGCTCGAACCAAGATCGTACGTATGAACGGTGGTATAGATGCCTTCTGAGGATTTTTCACGATACATTGAGCCATTGGCTCAAAGTCACGTTCGCAAACCTCATAATTGTAAGAGTTGTTGGAAGGCGTCGGCACAAACCCGCATTTCCGGGAAGCCTTCAAAAGATATCCAGCGATGTACTTGGTGTCGCGCTTGTATTCGCTGCGATTGTACTCGGTTTCTGGCGGCAACACCATGTTGGCAGTTGCTGCCAACGTAAGTAAGATGAGAGCGCAGTGGAACAAGTAGGTGTATTGTGGGTGTTCTGCGGGTGGTCACAGATTGTCGCTACCCGTTTTTCCAAGGCTACATCCAGGTGTGAACGACACAGTTGAAATGAAATAGTACGAGTAGCAACCACGGAAATAGGTTCCTAGATCTCAACAGAATAGGAAACAAGAAACCAAAAACTTATACGAAATGTAGATGCAGCGTATGCATTGAGGATAGTGTAGTGAGCGTCTTCGGATGGCGCGGGAGAATTCCTAGGTCCAGCGCCAAGGCGTCAGTGCAGACCGCCGTGCGGAGACCCCGACCAAAGTTTCGAATTGTGAGCGAGTCCAACCTCTTCATAGCCAATCCACCAAAATGACGAATCTGGATATGCTGCTGCTCAAAGGAGCCTCTGCGAGTAATCCAGAGGAGGGTCTCCAAGAATTGCGCTACACAATCTTGACCGAAGGCATTCCCGCCAACAGCGAGGGCATGGTATGTTCTCCACACTACCCCATGCGATCATACCGCGCATGGGCGCAATCTAGAACCGCTCAATGAATTCTGTATACTAATTTCCACCGGTCCAGTCCGAACTGCGCATATACATCTGGCTCATCCTACTTAACGCGCCTCCTCTCCGCACCGACGTATACCTCGATCTCGTCCGTCAAGGCGCCTCTCCCGCGCACGCCAAAATCCAAAATGACACCTTCCGCACCTTCCAGGGAGACCCCCTCTTCCGACGACGCGTCACTCAGAACAGCATTACGCGTGTGCTCAACGCCGTCGCGTGGAGGCTGAACGATGCGCACGAAGCACGCGTCAATGGCTGGCAGTCCCCACCAACACTATCCGAGTTCGGCGGTAGCCCAGATACCTCGATGATGTCGCGGCATTCCCTCACTGCGGGTACGCGTACAGAGGCGTCGACTACGAACGATGCTGAGCAGATTGGTTACGTGCAGGGCATGAATGTGCTCTGTGGGCCGTTTCTGTACGCGGCGAGGAGTGAAGTCGAGGCTTTCACGGGCTTCGAACGGCTCATTACATACGAGTGTCCAGGCTATGTGAGGGGATCGATGGAGGGTGTGCACAAAGGTCTCGCGTTGGTGGACAGGGTGCTAGAGGTGGTCGACCCCAAGCTGTACGGCCACCTCATGGCACACCACATGGAAGCCAAGATCTACGCTTTCGCATCCGTCCTCACCATGTGCGCGTGTACACCCCCGTTGCCAGAGGTCCTACAGCTCTGGGACTTCCTCTTCGCATACGGACCACATCTGAACATTCTGTGCATTGTGGCTCAGTTGGTTCTGATTCGTGGCGATATCCTGAATAACCCGAGGTGAGTACAATTTCCACACATGTTCGAAGCAAGACTGACGTATTCATAGCCCCAATACGATCCTACGTAACCTGCCTGGTCTTAACGCTCAGAAGATTGTCGCCGTGGCTATGAGCTTCGCCGGCAAGATACCTGAGGACATGTACGCTGAGATCATCAATCACGCAAAGTGAGCTGGCGCAGAACGGGGAGGATGAGATATGACGCTGCGATTATGATGTATGATACGACCTAACGATTAGATGATACCCACGAGAGATAGCTTGCACACAGCAATGTATGAATGTTATGATTAACCCCCGATTCTTCTAGTTGTGAAGCTGTCGAACACTATATGCGTGCGATTGAATGCGGAATTGCTGTCACTACGATCACTGCAACGCTCACGGAATGTCAGCATCATCGTCATCCCCACCAAAGCCAAAGCTAAATCCTCCGACTTCTTCCTCCTCGTCTCCCTTCGTCAGCTGCTCCCACTTGCCCTTTCCCTTCTTCCCCTTCCTTTCCAACTCCGCGAGGCCCTCCTCCAGCAACTCGGGATGCTGTTCCTGGAGTCGCTCTACGAAAAGCTCATAGGCGCGATCACAGACATCTTCCTTGAACCCGCTTACTTCGCCGCGCTGGTCACGCAGGAAACCTAGTACATCAGGCAATTTTTTGCGGGGTACAAAGTTCTGCGTCAAAGCGAGGCTGTCTTCGAGATTGAGCACTAGGTGGAACCAGCCGGACGGTACATGGAGTACTTCACCAGCGTAGCAAATGCCTTCTTTGCAGCCGGGCGTTTGGCGGGCGAGTTCATGGAAAGTGAGCATGTATTCTGCGATGCTGAGTGGAGAGGTGATCTCGGATTGATCGTCGCTGACGATGACGCCGGGTGGAGGTTCGATGCCTGGGCCGGCGGGGAACATGAGCCAGTACTTGCTGCCTGTCAAGACTGCGTTCCATGCTGAAGTTGCGTTTGGATCTTTGTGGAACGTAGAGCCGCTGCGCTTGGGACCCATGATCATCCACCGGCAGTCCGGTCGGTGTTCGCCTAGGACACTGAAGAGATCGTCGCCGAAACATGTTGGGCTCCAGTATGCGGCTTCTTTGGAATGCGGTGCCGCTGTGATGTCTACGCCGGTCTTCTCGGCGAATGCGCGATCGAAGAGGTACAGGGGTGACTCGTCGGCGTTGTCGTGCATGTAGGACATGTACTTCTTCATGGGCCAGTCTACTGCTTCCGCGCGGAATTTGGTTTCTGGGAATTTCTCGAGGAGGTACTCTGATGTCCAGGTACCGTGTACAGGCCATTGCTTGACGGGTGTAGTGAGCACAAAGGGCTTGTCCACCCAGGTTTCGGCGTACTCTTCGTACGTCAGATCTGATAGTCGGGCTATCTCATTTTGTTTCGGGATCTTGACCGCGTAGGAGTTTAGTTCTGTGTGGGCGCATTGAAATGGTCGATAAAGAGTGTCAGAGAAGAGGTTGGTGCATGATATTGAAGTGACGTGCTCTCTTGGGATCTTCAGGTAGGTTGCTCGCCAGGTTCCACGCCATTCAAAGTCTTCAGCTGGGGAGCTGTTTGATCGTTAGCGTTCGATTGGAAAAAGTGTGATTGTCTGGTATTTTCAATGCAGGCAAACGAGTGATGCATGTTGAGCCTGGTATAAAGTAGAAGCAACGCTCTATTCCGTTGGAGAAATGCAGTTTCGTATATACCACGAATTTACACACACTCAACTTGAGCAACGATCTACCACTTTATCCCGGGGAATATAGAATGCCCTGAAATGATTTTGTGTCCTGCACTTCCACAGCCGAGCCGCGGTCAGGCGTGCAGGCACAGTCATACCGATCCAAGAGAGTTTACAAGGAACGCCTTCCTTCACATACACCGCCTGACCGATTATATGACTGGACGATGACTGGAAACGTAGGAATGACTGTATACGAAAAAGATGGGGAATGCAACATGTTGTGTGTAGCAACCGTGGTACTCACCTTACGAACAAAGCCCGCCATAATTCGTCCAACCTCGTAAAGGCATACAAAGCGCGGCACGTACTCCCCAAGCGTATCAGGACGTCAGCTTCGAATGACTCAAAGATGTGGCTCAGCAGTTCATCGGGTAAACTGGCGAACAGTCCGCATCTCGATTTGATATTCTCGGACGCAGTATACGCATTGCCGGCCGGCTTGATACCCAGGGGATGCGAGGGGACTGCGATCGCCGCCGCCGCCGCCACATCATCGTCGTCGCTCTCGACTTCAGTCGCCACAGAAGTCTTGACTCTTTTCGAAGGTCGTGATTCGACAGTGGCAATGCCGGGGTGGTCCAGAATGCCGGGCGCCATGTCAAAGATGGACCGGGCACAATGCTTGGTGTTTGCTCAGCGCAGACGTTTTCGCGGCTGCAAGTGGTCTAGGAGGCAAACCAAGGGACAATGAACAGAGTCATAGGCTGACACTGGAGCGAGCCAGTGGAAGTGAAGGCGGACCTAAGGTGGGAGCCGTGGGCGCATTTGAACTAGCGTGCTTTTGGCACTAGCACACTGCTGAGATTTTTTGTGGCCGACCTCTTAAGCCAAAAAGCGCCCACCTTCTCTGTCCCTCCATCACCAAATCCACCACACAACCAATACACACACTACCCTAGATACCCGTTTGATTCTCTTGCAGAGGATCTGGTATCTAGCTTTTACTACACAACTTTTACACACGCGGCGGCATCCAGAGGATCCTCCGCTTTAACCCCGCCACGAGCAACACTTCGACTACGGTCCCGCACCAGTAGTCGCTCCTTCCAGTCGCAATCATGGCTGACAAAGGTCTTGAGGACGTGCCCGAGGGTGAGTTGTGCCCCGAGTGCTGTCCCGCCGCTCCTCGAAACTGCGCGCCCCGCAGTGCGAGGGCGGCGGCGACGATAGCCTCACCTGCAAACATTTCTGCGAGCCCCGGCTAACCCACGCGCAGGCCAGATCGAGTCCAACTACGATGAGATCACCGACTCGTTCGACAACATGAACCTCAAGGCTGAGCTCCTCCGTGGAGTCTACGCCTACGGTTTCGAGCGCCCCTCTGCTATCCAGCAGCGCGCCATCATGCCCGTCATCAAGGGTACGTTTGCCCGCCCCCACCACCGCACAACCCAACAAGCGACTGACATATTTTAGGCAACGATGTCATCGCCCAGGCCCAGTCCGGTACCGGTAAGACGGCTACCTTCTCCATCTCGACCCTCCAGAAGATCGACTCCAACGTCAAGGCCTGCCAGGCGCTCATCCTCGCCCCCACCCGCGAGCTCGCTCAGCAGATCCAGAAGGTCGTTGTCGCCATCGGTGACTTCATGGACGTCCAGTGCCACGCCTGCATTGGTGGTACCAGCGTCCGTGACGACATGAAGGCCCTCCAGGACGGCCCCCAGGTCGTTGTCGGTACTCCCGGCCGTGTCCACGACATGATCCAGCGTCGTGTGCTGAAGACCGACCACATGAAGATGTTCGTCCTCGACGAGGCCGACGAGATGTTGTCTCGCGGTTTCACCGAGCAGATCTACGACATCTTCCAGCTGCTCCCCCAGTCCACCCAGGTCGTCCTTCTCTCCGCCACCATGCCCCAGGACGTCCTCGAGGTCACCACCAAGTTCATGCGCGACCCCGTCCGTATCCTTGTCAAGAAGGACGAGCTTACCCTCGAAGGTATTAAGCAGTTCTACATTGCCGTCGAGAAGGAGGACTGGAAGCTCGACACCCTGTCCGACTTGTACGAGACTGTCACCATCACCCAAGCTGTCATCTTCTGCAACACCCGCAGGAAGGTCGACTGGCTCACCGACAAGCTCACTGCCCGTGACTTCACTGTCTCGGCCATGCACGGTGACATGGACCAGGCCCAGCGTGATGTCATCATGAAGGAGTTCCGTTCCGGATCTTCCCGTGTCCTCATCGCCACTGACCTTCTGGCCCGTGGTATCGATGTCCAGCAGGTCTCCCTGGTCATCAACTACGACTTGCCCGCCAACCGCGAGAACTACATCCACCGCATCGGTCGTGGTGGACGTTTCGGACGTAAGGGTGTTGCCATCAACTTCGTCACCGCCGACGATGTCCGCATGATGCGCGAAATCGAGCAGTTCTACAGCACACAGATCGAGGAGATGCCCATGAACGTGGCTGGTAAGTGTTCATTATATCCCCGTACTTCAGGCCCGATTACTAACGTGTACGACAGACCTCATCTAAGAAGTGGTGCTCTGCTATCTTCTCATCGCCGCCTCACTCTGCCCACTAACGCTTCAGTGGTGCATTGGATAGAGGCGGTGGTCTTCTAATACGAGTACGCCTGCACGGCCAGGGGTGCTCTCTGTTTGGTCCGGTTCAAAAGTGGTTCGAGGTAGGACGAGTAATCGTCTATACATCGCGGCATCTTGGCGTTGGTCTCTCATGTGCGAAATGATTTCCCTAAAAGAATGTCTGCATATGATAGACTTACGGTGCGTAGTTGATGGATGGGTCCTGTTTTGCAATTTCATGCTACTTTCCTATGTCCTCGGGGATCTGCTGCACGTCGTCAACGCATGCTCACGCGGTGGGATGTGTAGCACTTCACCATGGCCACGCATGTCGATGATAACGATCGGGAGTTTCCTTTCATATAGAGATGCGATTCAATTGCATGAAAGTTACTTAACTTGCTCTTCGCCATATAACTGAGTGATGTGACTACTGTCCACGTCGACTAATGGCGGACGTGACGATCTCCACACGGCATCTATTTAAGGCGCGGGAGATTCTGGGGCTGCCACGAGGCTCTTGCATGCCGCCTATCGATAACCTCGGTCCACGACCCCACCGAGCTTCACCCTCCCGACGCACGCGCATCCCATGAGACCGACAGCATGGCTCGCCCGAAGCAAAGCTATTGCGACAATGGCGCTTTCCCAAAGATCTGTTGTAAGTATGCTATATGATTGCGCTCCGCAGCAGGCCTTCATCTTGCTAATACGCCCAACAGCGCGCCTTGGACCGCCTCCGAACGTACTCCCCTCCGCCAACGCAATGGTATAACTGCCCCCTTACGAGACGCGCGGCAGTCCTTATATTGCTCTTTCCGGACCGGCATGGCGAGCTCAAGGTGGTCCTCACGATGCGCAGCGCGCAGTTACGCAACTATGCGGGACAGGCTGCGCTGCCCGGAGGTACTGGATCACACATGAGAGTTGGATTGGACATGCCTGCTGACACGGTTCAGGCAAAGCAGATACACTCGACGAGTCGCCGTGGGACGTCGCACGACGCGAAGCGGACGAGGAGATCGGGCTGCCCATGAATGAGGAGAAGCTTCGAGGATTTACCGTGGAGCACCTTTGCGAACTCCCTGCGAACCTTGCAAAGACCGAGCTCGGAGTGCGGCCCTGCGTCGCCTTTCTGCGTCCGGCAGAGACATCCTCCGACGTGCCCGCTTCCTCCGACACGAACAGTCTCTCTGTAGAAGAAAGGCTTATGCCGCGCCTCGACCCCAGGGAAGTAGCAGCGGTCTTCACGGCGCCGTTTCACAACTTCCTGCGCAAAGGGTGGGAGGGTGAAGGCCCGCCACCAGTGCAGAAAGACGGTAGACCCGAGAAATGGTATCGAGGCTCTTGGACAGACTGGCACGAGTCACGATGGCGAATGCACAATTTCTACATGCCACGACCCCCTCCATCTCCGACACTCCTACGTAATTCCGCGCGGTCCTCTCCGCCATCCATACCAGAACCTTCTTCGCATCAAACTTTACCTGATGGAGATGACCCTCGCCCAGAGCCTAGCGCATTCGACAGCCTCACCACCTTCAGAGTATTTGGCATGACAGCAAGAATACTAGTCGATGCGGCCCGAGTGGCATATGGCGAAGAGCCTGAATTCGAGCACAACAGCCACCATGGGGATGAAGAGATGATAGGGAGGTTGTTGAAGATGGGCAGGCTCAGTGAAGTGAGGAAGAAAGGTGAGGTACTTACGCGCGAGGTACTGAAAGAAGCCAGTAAAATCTAGAAGATTAGAGAAGGTGATTCAGCCAGACAATCGTAGCATTATACGCCACGACATATCACAGATAACGGGGGAGGCATGGTATAGGTAACCGCTACACTTTAATACTAACATGAAGTATCCACATTCTTCATTTATGCCTGTTTTGTCTTTCGAAGCCAAGGTCGCGATGTGGACCTCGCCCAGCGGCTTCCAAAGATACGAGGCGACAAGGCTCGTTGGGCACAGGGAAGGATACCGCTGCACGATCCATCTTGACACGATAAGATTTTTTACACATGGGCATCGTCGGGAAGGCGATGACATCGTATTACCACGGCGATTCGGGTGATCTCGGGCGTTTTCTTTTCAACCCGAGACCTCAGCGGCGTTACTTCAATGAGAGGATTCTGCAGCACATGCGAAAGCCAACCACACCAAGAAGCAGCCCTCTGCATGAAACCGTGCCTCTACAGCATACCTGACTGAAAAGCAATCAGTATACAACGCCTCTAAACGCTGCCAGATAAGGGGCCAGCGTAATTTCTCTACAACCAGTGACGACACACATGCACTTGCTTGGCGAACTCTTGTCTCTTCCGCAGTGCTCCGCGACGCGCCGTCCTGTCCGCCCGCGAGCGAGCGACGGAGTGCATTTTGTGATCATAGCGATGTTGACATGTGAAAAGCCCAACGATGGTCCTTGGCAGTGCACGGCGCAGCCCGCTTTTTAGCGTTCAGCCTCAGGCCCAGGTGTAGATCATCATCATCCGGCAGCTCTTGCCCCGTTGGCCATCTTCACATGCCCTTGCTCCTTCCTTGTCTCCGATCATTCACAATTTGCATCGTCTTTGGGCTCTGCGTATCATCAGCGCACCGACGTACTCAGCACTGCCATGAACACTGGATCACGGCCCGATTAGTCGACTCAGGTCGGATTTGAAAAGACGTTGAGTGCACCGCCCACGCCCAGAGAGCAACTCATCATTACAGACCCACCGGACGCGACGCAGTGCGTGTAATCCACTCGCAACGAAGACAAGCCGGAGTCAAAGTTCGCAGGCCCTCAATCAGTTCCCACCCTCTACAAGCAACCTCCAGGCTTGTACGCGCTCACCTTGCGGCGGCATCAACTAGACGGGCAGGCTTCTGGAACGCACGTGGGGACTCGGCGCTTTTTGAGGAATGACGATAAGTCGAGATAGGCTTTTTGCCTAAGGCTTAGCCTTGGCCGAAGCAGAGTCAAACACCAGAGTGGAGCTTGGGCGAGGGTTCTGGCATTGTTGAGACAGCTTCGAGCTTCCACCCGATGATCTTGGCCCGACAAGCTTCGCACACACGCAAGCAATCAGAGCCGCCAGTGTCAAACTTCCCTCAACCTTATTTGCGTTCTAGTATGCGGCTGTGGCTGCATCGGGCTGCGAAACGTTGGCCCCTTGTTTGGTTGTGTCTTGCGCGGGATGCTTGGCAACGAAGCCGACGCAACGGGCTCCGCTTTAAGCGTTTCGTCATCCGTTTCGACGCCCCTTTTTGGCACCACGAATCACCGTCCCTCGACAGCTTGAGCCGCATCTTATTTTCTCGTTGCCCAGTCCATGTTCCGCGCTTAGCATGCCCTAGTCAAGTCGGAGGAATCCGGACCGCACCATCGCATGGTGATCCAGATTGGAGACCGCCATGCCCGCCGCCTAGGGGTTCTCTCAAGTCGAAGGGACTCTCCCTGCATTGCGGCGCGAAGCCGACGCCCGCGTCACAGCTATTCGGTCCTGCTGCCCTGAAAGCGATGCGTCAGGTTCGCTCTAGGCCCAAATATGACAGGTAAGATGTCTATGTATGACGGACATGAAGTAAGGAAGGACTCCCCAGTACTGTCAATCTGAGTGGACAACTGCAATATGGCAACTACGTGGATGCAGTGCACGAATACTATCCATCATACACTGAGTTATCCACAGGGTACGCAAGCAGCATAGCCACGATGCAGATCATGGAAGGCGATAAGCATTCGTCTTGAATGTACTAAGCGACGGAAGCTAACTCAACATCTTGGCGCATCGTGCACTGCCAAGGTGGAGTTACCATTCCTGGAACTAGATGAAGCGAAGAGGACCTCAGGTCGTTATCTAGGTGTACGTGCGCTGGCCGCTGCTCGGAGCTTATTCGACGCTTTGATGTGGATACCAGGAGGATGTACGCAACACTTCGTCCTCGCCAAGCACTCTGAGATCCCACCATGACTCCGTGGAGCCTCATTGACTAGCTGCCAGAGGTATTTGCGCTAGATTGGCACGCAGTTCGAAACAGGACCGATACTAGAGAGGCTGACCCATGCTGATCCCGCTCGGCGCGTGTTAATACACTGGTCTATTCCCGAGCATCGCCTCTCGGGTTTCTATCAAATTGCCCCGTGCAGGTCAATACTTGTCCCTATTGCGCGTTTTGTGGTCATAGTTTCTTTGGTTTCTTTCCTTTATTTGCCGTCTCTTCCGTCTTTTAGTCTCTACGGTGCAGGACACCTATTCTATCATTTCAGCAATGGATACTCGCTACCAACCAGAAGGCTTGTCCTTTGGACCAAAAGACACCTTCAGCCCTAATTTCGAGAACAACGGTCAATTCCCTCTCCCACCAAACCAGCAGCAACCTCAGTATGCACCTCCACCTCAGCCTCAGCACATGAGCCAGCAGTACGGCGGTCTACCTTCCGGACCTCGTATGCAAACTCCTCAGCAGCAAGGACAGTATGGTCTACCTTCTGGACCCCGTCAACATTCTCCTCAATCAAGTCGAGATGTGAACAACTACTCCCGCCTGTCCAACCCTCAACAGCAACAACAAACACCCGAGCAACAACAGCTACAGCCAAATCAGTACCAGCCGCAACCTCAGGTCGCACAACAGAACCAGTTCTCCTTTGAGTCCGGCGAGACTACCCGTACCAACACATGGGCAGCCAACTCACCAGCAGCAACACCTGCGCCTATGTACGCATCTAATGGAGGAGGCTACTTTCCCGGTCCGGTTGATGCTAATGGATACCGCATCGACACGAAGGAGAGGCAGCCAGAGCCAGAGAACCCTTTCAGGGACCAACCTCCTCAGTCGCCACCCCAGATGGACGATATCGATCTCGAGAAGCACAAGCATGCCGATGGCCACTCGGAATGGGACAAGCACACCAAGATCCCTGGCAGGAAGGATCCCAACCAGCCATACCTCACTTTCGGACAACGGCTCAAGCACTACACATGGGCGAACTACACCCTGACGATGGCTACTGGTGGTCTCGGCACGCTTATCGCCATCCAGCCCCATTCTTTCCCCGGTCTCATCACCATCGGCGCCGTTTTCTACATTCTCAACCTCATGCTGTTCACTGCCGTCACAATGACAATGGTCCTCCGCTTCACCAAGTACGCTGGATCCTTCAAGGAATCTATCAAACACGAACGTGAAGGACTCTTCCTCGGACCCTTCTTCCTGTCGATCGCTACAATCATTACCGGAACGCAGAAATATGTCATAGAAGCGTACGAAGAGGATCACCCGAATCGGGCGTGGGCAATCACTACCATGGCAGTCGCTTTCTGGGCATACACCTTCATCACTTTCTGCTTGGCTTCCTTCCAGTACTCGTTCCTGTTCTGCAGTCACACGTACAAGCTTACCAGCTTCATGCCCTCGTGGCTGCTCCCCATCTTCCCTATCATGCTTGCGGGTACAATCGCCTCGGTCATTGCCAAATCACAGCCCGTATCGTCCAGAATGCCAATCCTGGTTGCCGGACTTGGATGTCAGGGTCTTGGATTCACGGTTGCCATTCTCATGTATGCGCACTATATTGGTCGTCTGATGCAAGTCGGATACCCCGATCGTGAGCATCGAGGAGCCATGTTTATTGCTGTCGGACCGCCTTCTTTCACCTGCTTGGCCCTGATTGGTATGGCCAACGCTCTTCCTGACGACTTTGACTTGCAAGGTGACGGCCTTGTCGACGCGAAGCTACTCCGGACTCTGGCTCTCATTGTCGCACTCTTCCTTTGGGTATTGGCTATGTGGTTCTTCATGATCACCCTCGTCGCCGTAAGTTCGCCACAATATCTTGTCATGTAACAATACTAACTCTATCTCCAGGTCATCAACTCGTGGGCTGTCTACTTCCATCTCGGATGGTGGGCCATGGTCTTCCCCAACACCGGATTCGTCATCGCCACCATCTCGATCGGCAACGCGCTGAAAGACGAAACGGTGCTCTTCGTGGGGAACGGCCTCACCATCGCCATCATCACGATGTGGTGCTTCGTCTTATTCAAACACGTACAGGCGATCTATGTCGCCGACATCATCTACCCCGGCATGGACGAGGACATTGCAGACCACTAAACGCCAAACCCAGTAATCTCGGCACCGTCGCTCTCCGCCGTGCGATCTCTGCTACCAACTTGCTTTCAACGGCGTTTCTCTTCGGTTTACGTTTCTCTCACTCGTTGTACCACCCCGTATACGCCTGTCGTGAGTCTATCAAAAGCACCACGCTCCTTTTATACCCCCATGTTTCCGCCATCGCTTCTCCGTACCTTCTCCGAAGCCGCCAGCAGGTCTACAGGCTTCCCTCGTTTAGACACCACACTCTCCATCTCCATTCCAGCATTAGACCTAGGGCGCGCCAACAGACACTTGTAATGCACACACACACCATCACTCTTTGTATTCCCCGAGTTTTATCCATGTTACTCTCTATCCATCGGCTTTTGCATAGCGTCGGCGTCATAAAAAATCGGGAAGGGGCAACAGATACCACGGGCAATTTTTCTTATACATACTTCATTTCTCTCGACACGAAGTTTTGCGCTGCACTGCACTTTGATGGGGGCTGGAGGACGGGAGATATCGAAGTTTAGTCAAGACCCGTTCCGATAGTTGTAGATAGCTTCCACAAACAATGTTCGAATGCATGCGCGCGTTTGTTGCTCTTTCCCACCATATTATCGTGTTTTCGTCTTCGCTTTTCAAGGTTTCTTCCG